CTGATTGAATCTTTTTTTTTGTATTATATGCAGCTTGGTTTATATTATGTTTGCCAAATATCTGATCCTTGTTTAGTTTACTGCCGATGTCTAATTTGCTGATGATTTTCCTTTAAGTAGTACTGTTAAAGATCTGTGCTACCTCTCTACTCAGAACTTGCCAAGTGGGCTTTTATGTACTGTGGGCCTGAGCCCTAGATTTATGTGGTTGCATAACTCGTAAATTATATAGCCTTCCAGAACAAGCTAGTACAACCAAAGTTACAGGTGCTACCACCTCTCAGAATATCACACAGTATATCATAACACATTCTATAAATTTTAAATTTCGTTACTAGTAGGATTCGAACTCTTGTTCAGCTGCTTGGAGGTGTGACAACTTATCAACTTCACTAAGTTGCCACATTTCAGTTAGCAAAAATTTAAATCATTGTGTTATAAAATCATTTGATTACTACATCCAATCAAATAATTATTTCATAAACGAATACAAAACTTGGATTGAACTATATGTTGTTTTTTATTCCATATAAATACAGTATTACTTAATGATCTACTAATAAATAGTGACTTTATATTTTAAGCAAACTTTTCAATATATAAAACTTTGATAAAAAGCTGAATTAATTGAAGTTAAAACATCACTAGTAGTTAAAGATAGCATATTTGAGCAGAATAAGAGACAAATAATTTTTTGGTAAATAACATAGTGGAATTATTTGGTTTTCAGAACTTTTAACTGCCTTTGCATTATTAATCTATTATAGAGATATGTTCAATTAAATAACAGAGTTTAATATAATAGAAAATAGGTTTACTAAAGATGGTTTTCTGTTATTTAAAATATTTATATGAAGTTCAGTTTTCATAATCTGTCTTAAACTAGCCTTTTTTCTAGGATGATTAGGGTAATATCTAAAATCCTGTACTATTTTAGTTGGGTGTTTTATTTTTAATAACTTTATTTTATAGTAATAGTCAGAATATTAATTTAAATCCATATAAATATATAATTGGATAAAAATTAAAAGATATTTACTGAAAGATTTTTGCTAAAACTATAACTAACAATGATCCTTTTTTTATTTTGTTCAATACTAGTTCTCATGCATAAGTAAAATTGAGTGCTAAATTTCAGTATTAAATATATTTAGAATACATGTATAAATAATTCATAGTCATAATATAGCAGGTGAACTCATAATTACATTATTGATGCAGATTATTATCTAAAATAAGGAATATCTAATGTCATATTGATATGTTTTTGATATATTAATTGAAGTTAGGATAAGGTTTAGTTTGGAGCTATAGTTAAAACATGATTTATAGTAAAATTGCCCTTCCAGTATGTTTTATTCATCCTTGAAATAGGTTTAGACACTTATTTCTTATATTTTTTGGATTTTGCTTTCTATTTTTCCTCTTCAGGCTGATCTGTATTAATCAAAGTAAACAGCTTTATTAGCCACTTGTCACGAGATTGTATACAGCTTTGAAGACCTCCCAAAATAGTAACTAACCTATCACTAACCCAACTAAGATTTGTATGAGGATTTTACTCTTACATGTCATAAATTGTTTAAATATCTACCTTGGATGATAGCAAATATTTCTGGCGTAATTCTGAAAGTATTTGTTAGGTAACTTTGATTTTCTAATCTGAAAATATATATTTATCTAGTATAATTGTACTATAATAATCCACTAATATTACTTGAGCAGGAGTCTTTCTACCTTTACTGATAACTAGAATTATCATACAATTTATTGCCATATAATCTCTAAAAAATTTATAAAATTTTTAATATTAAATACATATAATTGATAAATAATAATAAATAGAAATAATTACTCAGAAAGAGGAGGAGGTATATATGGAGGCATGGTAGGACAAGCTAAAGTAGAAGTAGCTGTTATCTATTTTTTTTATAATCAGCTAGTAGTATTATTTGTCTCTAAAGTTTCTGATTTTTTTTAAATACTTCTATAGTCGCCAAGGAATCTTCATGCTAATAATAATTTTTTTATTTATTTAAAATTATATATTTAAAATTATATAGAATTTATCAAAAATTATTTACTGCATTATAACTTCCCACCTGAATAGTAAGATTAAGTTCATCTTTTAATATTATTTGCAATGCATATGGTCTATTTTTTATTAAAATTTCATACATCATGTTTATGTATATTGGATGGTCTATCTTTAATTGCTTGATAATTATAATAATAAAATTAATAATTAAACTTGTATATATATGAATTAATAAAAACACCAGTCTATTTACTTGTAAATCTTAAGTTACAGCAAAACCAATAACTATTTTGTTATTAATTGTTCTAATTACTTTAGATTGTACTTCTTCAAAACTAAGTTCTTAATATTGAATATATTTAGAATATATATAATCTAAATCATTTATAATAGAAATTTTTAAAGGCAATTACCTTGTTCTAAATTATCTTTCAAAAGCAGCTTGTCTAATTGAATCGTTCATCTGAATATATATACCTATTAAAGACTCTTGTGCCATTATAATCCACTAATGATACTTAAGCAAAAGAGTACATTTTAATATTCACACCAATAAAGAGTGTAAAAAATTTGCAGTTTAATGATAAATATAATCTGATAAATAGAGTTTATTAAATACTATAATATAAACAAAATAAAATTGATAAATAGACTAAGTAGGTATATTTACCCTGGATCATCCAAATTAGCCAATTCACCATCATTATTAAATTACAATAGGTAATATAAAAGATAATATTTTTCTGAATATTTTGTTTGATAAAAATATATATATTTTTTAGATTAAAAAAAATAGTTTTAGTGACATTTTTTTTTTTGAATTTGCTGTATAATCAGTGTTGGACAATGACAATGTCATAAATCATTTAACTAATGATATATGTCATCATGTCATATGATATAGAATCATATATCATTTTATCATATTATTATATGATACTATCATATGACTTACATGACAAATTATGCATGTCATATGATATAAATCATATATCATTTCATCATATTATTATGATATTGTCATATGATTTACGTGACAAATAATGCATATTATTTTTGTCATTTGTCATAATGATATCTAGTCAAGAAGACTAAATTTACGATTTAATACAGAAAATCGTTATATTATAAGTAGCATACTAATACATTAGTATTTGAACTCGTCTAATCTTCACCCGGGTCACCCGAAAAGTGGGCTGTAAGTCACCCGGGTGGAAACTGGGTCACCTACAAAAAGCCATCTACCGGGTCGAGTTATTAGTCACTCTAGTAGAAATTGAACTGAAAATCGAAAAAGTATTATCCAATTCTAGCTGTTATCATAAACTTTGAGGCACCTGATAAAAATTAGCCGAATGATTTTTTGGCAGATTCGAGTTTATTTAAACCTGATTGTTTTGCATGAATATTTATATACATGAACAAATATATTATGTATTTATCAATTAATAATCACTTAAAAAATCATCGATTATTTAAAAATAAGGAATCCATATATAATTTTGATTTACATAGTATACTGTGCACTCCAATTAAGTTAGTAACTTCGGCATAATCAATTCAATACGTATATAATTTAAGATCTGGTAATTAAGGCCACACAAAATTAAGTTTTCGTTTTGCATTAAACCTGCCAACCAAATTTTTCAAAAGCTCTTTTTTTTTTTACAATAGCAATTTGGTTTGAAACAAAATTAATATTTATTTTAGGATTTAATTATTAATACGTATATAATTAAAAATATTAATAATGAACAAATTATTTTTATTTAAATTGAAATTTTCTTGTTTAGTAAAAAAAAAAAAATTGTACGTATTATCAATACGTAAAAAAATTCGATAATTGATATTTCAGGTAGTAGACAGTATTAACAGATTTCAGGAGGTATAGTAATTTTCTCCTATCATATATTTTTATAAGATTTATTGGTTGAATCTATTAATATATATATATCGGAATGATGCTGGAATTTGAACTTAATTGTTCAGAGCTGCGTTATGATCTAGAGTTAGAGTTCATAATAAAAGAGTATAAGTTACCATTATGTTTTAATATATTTCAAATCAAGACTGCGGATTTGCACAGTTCCTTTATCGTTATTTCATTTACAAGTTTGTTACGCTGTGGTGAATGGATGTTTGCAATAAATGACCAGAATTTTTCGCTTTCAGCAGAAGTAGGTAGTATCCGGTATGATCGATCCTTTTATTTAACTCAAACAATTTTAGTTTATAGTTTATTTGTAATCGATGATTCTTAAAAATTACTTAAATAATATGTAATAATTTATAAAATATGTAAGGGTTAAATTTTAGCTATCGCTTACATAATTATTCCATTCACCATCCCTAACATTAACAGTTTTTAAATAACGCAAGCAAAAAAATAAAGTGATCTATCATTTTACACAATAAAAAATTGATAATTAGAACAGGGTTCTGATTTCATATTGTAGCAATTACTATCGCTATAGGTTTACGATAAATATGTAAAGGCGTCTTTTCTAATTTTATACTGATAACAATCTCTGATATATCTATTCAATATGTACCGTATTTACTAAAGTAGAGTTACTTAGTGATTGTTAACTGTTTGTACATGTGATCTGTAATAAGTAATTAAGCGAGATTATGAATGAGATCACAGTAACGCAATTAATTTAAAGAAATTATCGTTATGATATTAATGAGGTAATTAATTTATAAGTAAAGAGAGCTATTTATTGATCGTTAGTTGCTTGTATATATAATCCGTATAATAAATCAGACCACAATGATGTGATTAATTAATTTATAAATAAAATCAACGAGTAATTAATTTATAAGAGAATTTGGATGAGGTAATGTAAGGGTAATAATAGAAGTAATTTAAAAAAATAAATTAAATTAAAAAGTATTTAGAGGTTTACAAAAAATATATAAATATCTTAAATTCGTTATATCTAAAAATAAATTATTAGCAATGCCTAAACCATATAATTTCCGTGAATTTTTTACTTTAGTTGATAATCCAACTAATAAAACAAATGCAAAAGCAGTGTGTAATTTTTGCGCACTTAAAAATGGTGGAATTCAAGTAGCAAAATTAAAACCTGGTTGCTTTACCTCAAATAAAGCTATTTTGTGTCGATGTCATTTATCCAAATGTGAAAATTTTAAATCAGCACATGCTGAAGATGAAATTACTAAAATATTAGCATGACCTGTAGCTGAAGATAAACGAAAAATTTCATATGAAGGTAAAAAATCTAAATTATAATTAATCATTATTACCATATAATTATTAGTAATTAATTTGTTTTTTTAAACTAAAAGATAAACATAATTCTAAACGTTCAAAAAATCCAAGTGCTGATTTTTCTGATGATAATGACATGCAGTTACAATCATCTAATTATTTTCGCCATCCAATGTCAAAAAAAGATATACCTTGTTTTGAAAATTTAGTACTTAGAATGTGCATTTCTAATGGACTTCCATTTTCTTTTATGGAAAATGAAGAAACTAAGGTGCTATTTAATTTTATTTTACCTGGTCTTGATTTGCCAAAGCGTAAAACATTAGGTGGACGTGTTTTAACACATGCATCAAAAAATCTGCAAGATGAAATTTTAAAAATTGCACAAAATAATAAAGATGGTGTTACTGCAGCATTTGACGGTTGGGTTAATGTAAAACATGAATGCATTTGGTGTGTAGTTTTTATTACTTCACAAGGACAATCCTTAATATGGAAAGCACAAGAAATTAGTGCGCAAAGATCACATACAGAAGATGTAATACGACATATTGAAAATTTAATGATCGATACCCAAAATAAGAATATAACAATTAAAGCTTTTGTCTCAGATTCTGCCGGTGAATATGAAGCAGCAAGGTAAAATTTTATATTATATATATATAATTTATTTATTATTTAGGCTGTATAACTTTAATATTTTATATAATATATAATATTATAAAATTATAATTTTTATCTTAATTTAGACGTCAACTTAGACGAAAGTACCCTAATAAAATATTTCTTCCATGTATGGCGCATCAGATGAATCTAGTTTTTGGTGATATATTTAAAGAAAGTGAATTATTTAAATGTATATCAAAAGATGCAATACGAATTGTTGGATTTTTTCATAATTCTATATATTTTATGGGTATCTTGCGAGAAGAACAAATAAGAATTTATCAAAAAAGTATTTCATTAATATCTCCTGGAGATACTCGCTGGTGCTCTTATTACTTTTGCTTTTATTCAATTATAAAAACTCAAGCTGCTTTAAAAGTAAGTTTTTTTTTTAATTTTTATTTTTAAATTAATATTATATATTTATTTAATGTTAATTTAATAATTTATATAGTATCTTTCAGCAAAATATAATGAACATCGATCAAATGTATTACGAATTAATGGTGTTCCAACTGTACCAGCAAATAAAAATTTAAAACATAAAAATGGTGAACAAAAATTACCTGATGATATAGCAGATATAATTAATGATTCAGAATTTTGGCGAACCTTATTTTTATTACAAAATTTGCTTTATCCTTTATGCGGATTTCTTAATAAATTACAAAAAGATACAGCAAAATTATATGAAGTTGTATATTGTTTTGCTTATATGGTAAAAATTTTTTCAAATCATCCAGATAAGGAATTTGCTGCAAAAATAATTGATTGAGTGGAATGTCGATGGGCACGTTGGGAACAACCATTATTATTATTGTCCATTGTTCTTCATCCAGCATATAAACTTTTCAAATTTAACAATATGGTTAATGATCTTACTTGGACGCATATTGGTTGATGGTTAAAATATTATTTTCAAGCATTTTTTAATAAACCAGCACAATAAATTCTTAGTGAGATGATTAAATATAAACAAGAAGATGATCCTTATGATAATGCATCATTCCAACAATTTCAAGAAAATCTACTTGATTTTTGGGAATCTACAACAGGTGTTGGTCCTGAATTAGCACAACTAGCTATACATATTCATGGAATATATATGTATAAATTTATTATTTTATTATTAATTATATATATATACGTATAATAATTATATTTTATTATTAATACATAATTAATTTATTACGTATCAGCCTGAAAAAGTATTAGCTATGAGCCAAATATGAAGTAATATTTTATTTAATCATAATACAAATAATTGACAAATGCATATTGCGACACCTATTTTAGATTATAGTGATTCTGATGAAAATGACCTTGATAAACTTGATGAAAATGAACTTGATAAAGATGAACTTGATAATGATAAAAATGAACTTGATAAAAATAATAATTCGAAAAATGACAATATAAATAATCAATTTTTAGAAAATGATATTGACGAATCTATAGCTAATGATAAAAATCAATGGATTACAATTGTTGATCAATGGATTATCGCAACTCAATATGAAAATCAAGTAGATGATATAAGAGATCAAGTTTTTTTAAATAATGAATTCGATGAAGATTTTAATTTAGCCAGAAGAAATATTCATCCTGCAGATGATACTTTAGCTAAATGGGATTTGATTACTTTATTTGCAGATAATTTGGAACTAGAAATACTCTTCTACGTGTTCTAGTAGAGATACAGCGTTTGCCTGAAAATGCATATAGAAAGATCCATGATGAGATTAGGATTTGGTGATCACTCTTAGTACTAGAATTAGGGTCATCATCATAATAAGAGTTAAGATAAC